AGGGAGGGAGGGAGGGAGGGAGGGAGGGGAAGAAATAGTAGTTGCGTGGGGGGGGCGAAGAGAGCTGGGATGTTTGACAAAGGAAGGGAAGGAGGGAGGGAGAGAGGTGGGAAAGGGTAGCGAGAGGGCGAAGACGACCCTGGCAGTGCCCTCGCCCACCTCTCTCCCTCTCCTCCCTCCCCACAGCCCCGCCATGGACTATTTGTTGTCGGCCTATCGGGCCTGCCCCATGGTTGACTTCGTCGTGGATACTTTTATGAACGGTAGCGACTACCAGGTCAGGCGTGGTGTGGGGGGGAGGAGGCCAGGACGGGAGGGTGCACGAGGCTGATGCGGTCGCGAGGTGTTGCCACGTAGACTGTCGAGGATGAAGCATATCCACCCTTTCTCTCCCGTACCCTCCCAGAAAAAAGAGAACGCTACACTCGGCATACGCACCCAGCTAGGTAGGGGCGACATTTTCCTCTTTTTCAGATACTTGGCTCGGTGCTTGATCCTCATCTCCCTTCCTCCTCCCTTTCCGAATGCTCGAGGACTTAATGTTCGGTTTTTGGCTGGTTCCTCTTCCAGTCCCACCTTGTCTTTCTTCTTTCCGTTATGGGAGGTGGAAGGATTTGGCTTCAGACTGTCTGACAGAGCTCTGGCGACTTTTGACGTCCATGAATAATATTTCTTTGTGGCTTCCTGTCTATGCAGCCGTTTCATTCCTTTCTCCCCTCCCCCCGCTTACCACTCCCAGGCACGCTCCTTAACATGTCTTCCGAACTTATCATGATGCCCCAATTGTACGACCGAGTCGTCCTCGCCACCTTATACGGGGATATGCCGAGCGCGGGAGAGTACGTCTTCCCCTCTTTTCCCTCTTTGTTGTCCCTTCCGTGTTCCTGTGTATGCCATGGCTCTGGGCGAGGCACAGGTGCTTGTCCTGCCCTCCCTCCCTGCCTCCTCAAGCGCTGGCGGGTTGTTGAATCATCTTCATCTTCCTTGCAACCTCTCCCCCTCCTTGGCTGTTCAGGATTTTGCCCGCGCTTTCCCCCGAGCAGATGGTCG